GGGCAACAGGACACAGACTGCCAGAACAATTCATACACTGCACAGGTCTTGGGCAACTTTTAAAGGGCACCACAGCATGGGCAGATTCTAACAGACAATCCAGCTGTACCAGCTCTATTCTGGAACTGATTTGCAAACTTTTAATACAACATAGTGCCTTTTTTGTGTGAAGGTTGTCAATCAGAGTCAGTGAAAATGCACACTACTGACTAAAGCTATATGAAAGCTTTTCAGGACTTCTTGCCAAAAACATTAATCCTAAACTTTAGCAAATTGTGAGAGGTCGCTGGTGCCACAGTTGATCCAGTATAGTTAGAGGTACCATGCTTGCACCAACAGAAAGGAACCAAAATCTGTTTCCATAATTACAAAAAAGACATTGTCATTATTAATTTGAAATCTGCTTACATTAACTGTGAGTCAAGTTATTTTTCTATTTGTAATCTAAGGGCTTAATTCATAGGTTTGTAGTATAGTAACATACAGAATAAACAGATGGACTGACAGCCTACCAATTCTTTACAAAAATATTTTCAATAAATAGGAAAATACTGAAAATGTTTTCAATAAATATACTGTAAACAGTCAAAACTGAGTTAACAACATTTTTTGACGACAGTATTTTTGATTTGTTTTCCATAAATGAAGAGTGACTTGACATCTGCATAACTGCAAAAGAAATGACTTAAAAATTAGGCTGCACTAAATTTTCATGCAGCATCTTAATTCAGGCCCCTCTATGCAATTCTTATGATGTCATTTTAATGACAGAGCCTCAAACTGCTTTTTCTAGGGAAGCCCACTTTATCAATTGCAGAGAGTACACAATGAGAGTATACTGCAGTGAATGCATGAAGTAAATTCAGTATTACTTTTATCATTCAGTGTATGATCATGGAATAAAAAATAATAATTTCTTCTCAGATGCAGTGATGCACTCAGTTTAGTACTGTAAATGCTCTGTTTTATGAGATGAATTGTTATTCCAGCATAACAAGGGGATCATGAGACACACATCAGTTAGTAGCAGTATCTACTGAATAACAAAATATTTGAAAGTGTGAATTTTATTTTAGTCTTACCAGGTGCTTCTAAGTACTACATTTTATTCAGTATTTCTTAGAATCATAGAATAGTTAGGGTTGGAAAGGACCTTAAGATCATCTAGTTCCAACCCCCCTGCCCTGGGCAGGGACACCTCCCACTAAACCATGTCACCCAAGGTCCTGCCCAACCTGGCCTTGAATACCACGAGGGATGGAGCATTCACAACTTCCCTGGGCAGCCCATTCCAGTGCCTCACCACCCTAACAGGAAAGAACTTCTTCCTTATATCCAATCTACACTTCCCCTTTTTAAGTTTTAACCCGTTACCCCTTGTCCTATCACTACAGTCTCTAATGAAGAGTCCCTCTCCAGCATCCCTGTAGGCCCCCTTTGGATACTGGAAGGCTGTTATGAGGTCTCCACACTTCTCCAGGCTGAACAGCCCCAAATTTCTCAGCCTGTCTTCATACAGGAGGTGCTCCAGTCCCTGATCATCCTCGTGGCCCTCTTCTGGACTTGTTCCAACAGTTCCATGTTCCTTTCTTTATCCTTAATGTCTTCTTTCAGCCATCTTGATTGATGCAGATCTCTTGGAACAGGATTTTTTCCCAGTAGCTTGTACCTGAGCCCTCCAGGAATGATCTTGGATTGAAGTGGGAAGGCAGTCATGGCCAGTGCCAGGTATTCTTGTTGAGGACAGCTGAGAGATGAGACAAGCTCATTTGCTTGTCTGAAAATTAGCATGTGGAAATTCTGATTACTACACCACATCTTTTTATTGGGTTTTGACTTAATAAAACACTGAGCAGATGTGGGAAACAATGACGAAGCTGAAAGCAGTCATCTCAGGGAGACCTGTTTTAAGTTATGCATCAATTTCTTGTGCCAAAAACCAGGTCTTCACCTTGTGTACAGAAAGCAAATTAACAGAGAGTTGAGATACTTGTTAATTTCTTGTCTGTGCAGAGATGTGTGCTAGGTGGTAACTTCACAAAGCTAGCATGCTTCCGTTCACAGTAAACATTTTATATATGCTGAGCAACAGTTATCAGTATTTTTCTAGTCATGTTTAATCAACCTCATTCCCACTGGCTCTCAAGTTGCCCTGTCTTTACTTAGTAAAGTCCCAGCATTTTCCTTTTACTGTGCATTTGCTATGGGGCAGGGGCTGCATTGGTAGGGGTTTTCCTACCCAAGGGTGGGGTATGTCTTATGTTAATTAGGATGGTTCAATTGAAGTACTCTTCTGTTTGGATCCATCAGCAGTTTTGTTCTCTTTGTGCTTACCTTGGTATTGCCTTGGTTGGCTGATCTGTGGTATCATCCTAACCTTTTTCTCAGGGCTGTATCTTGCTCACTTTTTACAAAGTTTCCTTTATTCTTCATGTATCTCCGACAACTTCACAGATATTGGAAATTAACTGGGTACAGATGTAGTCATGATTCTCAAGATAGGAACTTATGTGTAATTATCGTCCTCTCTTTTTCACACTTTGAAATTTGGCTGCTAAGCTGAATAAAAGTTACGAAGTTCAGCTTCAAAGTTCCAATGCACAATTGTTCCAGTGGACAGAATTCCAGTGCAGCAGAGGTGGCCATCAGGGTCATGAGTGACACTCAAGACTTCTGCTCTGTGAGAGAGCAAATGTGGAACATCTGCAACCTTCCCTTGGTTCTCTTTACCTATCAGTTGTACAGATGGCAAGTCACTGAATGTAATTTAAAACTAAAAACATTAGGCATCCAATTATTGGCCTTATTGGTCTCCCATATGTAAATACCCTGGTGTTTTCAGATGCCAAATTTTCATAGAATGACAGAATAAGCAACATTTAGGCTACGCAATCGGCATCATCTGTGGAAAGCATTTTCTCAAAGTAGTTGCCTCACCAGACTCTGGATGACTACTCCAGTATACCTTCCATCTGCTTTAGGAACGTGACAGCAAAGTAAATCCATAAGGCATCAAATCTTCTGCTGTTTGCCAAACACTGTGCTGAGCTGGAAGGCAGATACTAGGTTTGGAAGACTGGCCCTGAAGTAACTGTTACACAGAGACAGTGAAAGAAATTCTGAATTTCAGCCAGCTGTGAAAGAAGTGGCTCTGTGGAGGGAGTGCTAGCACACAGCTGCAGATAAAAGAGCACATGTGATCTGTGTCAGTCAACACCACCTGCCTCTCACAGCCTATCCCTCCAATCATGCCTCTTGGGAACATGGGAGCAACAAGGAATTTAGAGAGAATTTTGTGATTATACCTATTTAAAGAAAATACAAAATCTCCTCCACCAAGGTCCTCTCCTTGCCATACAAACAGCAGACCAGTAGATGCTATAAGAATTTATTCATTCTGTCATAACTTTAATTCTTCAACTGCAACATCCTGAAGAAACATAATTACTATTGGGAGGATATACAGCTATAGCACCCACAAGTCGCTAATTGTTAATTTGATAACCATTTGACCACCTAGATGTTCAGGCTTCAGATTCTAAGGAGTCTAAGAGGAAATTCTATATTATTATTGGAAATATTATTTTGAGGTGGGTGTCTTATGTTATGATCGTGGATGAACAGAAGCTTTCATAAAATGAGAAGTACTTCGCAAACACAGCTTGCATCTAGAACAGGATTTTAGATTGAGTAAGGAATAGATTTCTGAACTTAATTTCCTGATCCCTTCCACACTCTCCATTTGGATTTGCACTGTAGACCAGTCTCCCTCTACATAGGGCTGGTTAATTTCAGAAGAAGCCAAAGGGGAAAACACCCTCCAGGCATCAAGACTAAAGCTCAGCTGATTTTAATCCCCCTTCCCCAGAGGTGTGGGGTGTAGATGTTGGGTCTTCAACTCATTTTTTCTTGCTCTGCACTGCATGAGTTGATAAAGTAGACACAGCTTTTCTTCCACCTAAGGAAAGCAGTGAAAGAGCACAGAAAAGCTTAAAAATGTTTTGCACACCCCCCACCATGGTTAAGTCTCCTCAGACTACTGCTTGCCCACAAATGAAGCAATGTCACGTCTCTGCTGTTTGTGCCAGTTCTGGTGCTTTCGTGGGCTGGTTACACTCTAGGTCTCCCACACACAGGTATAAATTAGCAAAGATCTGCCATAGTACCAGCTGGTTTAGGCATTGTTTGCTTTTAGCTGATCAATTAAGAACTTTAATGAGATAGTGAGGTACTCTCAATTTGCACTGAATATTCTGCATTATATTAAAATAATTGTTTTTTTCTGTCACTTCAGTAAAAATTACTAGACTGAACAATTTAATTATTCAATGCTGTGGATTGATTAAGTAAGCAGAACATACCTGAAGAGACAGGTTCTGATGAATTATCCTCATTTCTTCTTCATTATTGTTTCTTCCCTTCATATATGTCACCAAGAAACAGCCCTATGGCAGCTACTGTAAATGCTTCCTTGTACGTTTCATATCTCTCAAGCACTTTATTATTTCTATGACTATTTTTTAGTTAATAACTGCTCTTGGCTTTGCCTTTTAAAATCATATAATCATAGAATAGTTAGGGTTGGAAAGGACCTTAAGATCATCTAGTTCCAAGCCCCCTGTCATGGGCAGAGACGCCTCACTCTAGACCATGTCACCCAAGGCCCTGTCCAACCTGGCCTTGAAGACTGCCAGGGAAGGAGCATTTACCACTTCTTTGGCAATGATTTTAGAAAGTGAAATTTGGTGAGGTTTTTATGAGTAAGCAGAAAGTATTGCGCTATTTGCTAACCAGAAAATACTGCTTGAAGTGCAAAAGCTTATTTACTAAGTGCGGGCTCATTTTTTTTTTTTAAATTTACTTTAAATGATGTAGTATCTGTAACAATAAAGGTTACACTTTATTTTCTCCTTTCTTCCGCTATTCAATCAATATGATAGAGATGTATTTTTATAATTGGGGTTCCATTTTCCATGTTGAACAGAAGATCGGGGTGGAAATGTTCCTTTTCTTGTTAGGTATTCAAAGCAGCAGTTGGAGTCACTAGAGGGAGCTGAACTTAGATTACGTTGAACAGCAATGCTTCCCTTGGAAAATTCGGAGCACCGTTTCCACTTTTAAGACTGCGTGCCTGTGAAAGCTTAATACCTAAATGGTTAAAAGAAATCTACATTTGCATGAGCGGTCATGTAAGTAGTAAGTGATGATTTCTCTAAACTTACTCGTAATTGTCAGCAATTACAAAGACTACAGGACCCTGAGTGCTTTTATTGTGGATAATTTCTTTTCCTGAAGTACTGGGAGTGTTTTATTGTTAATTAGATATTAAATATTTTAAGATTAACCATAAGATTTCTTTTGTACGTATTTTCAGCTTTTTGAGTAGTTCAATTTGACAGGTGAGATTTTCATGCTTCCTACGGTCTGTGTGTTTCTCTTAATTTGTATGTGAAATAACTTAGCTGTACTCTGAGTTCCAGCATGGAGTTATCTTGTAATGAATTTCGAAACTGAAAAATTGAGAACTAGGTGGTAGATACAATTAGTTTCAGATCTTTCTAGACTATAAAGTGAGCCCATTTTCACACCAAAAGAACAATAATTCTGAAATTACCACTATGGCACAAATACAAGCAGGTCATTATGACTATTTCTGATGTACTTTATTGTTGGAAATTAGTACTTCTAGGAAGGCTTACAGCATCAGAAAGAGGGATGAGAACAGAGAAGCAAAGCATCATAGAATTTAAGAGATATTTAAAATCAATGTCTCAACTGACGTATAAAGAAAGTGAAACTTTCACCATGGATTTGGATAATACCATGATAGCACTGTGCAACCCCTAGGGTTGATCTTAATTAAACTCTTAATTAATTAAACATCTTGACAGGTTTGTTAAGTCTGGCCAACCTGGTAAGAAGAGCTTTCAGCTAGGAACAGCAAGGGATGGAAATGATGGTTCACAATCAAGTTGTGGCTTGGATTGACAAGCAAAGACTGCAGGGTGATACAGAGAGACCTTACAGCCAGGAAAATAGGGCAGAAGGGGCCTACCCCAACTGTACGCACACAAATGTGTATAGATGACTGCATGATGGCAAAATCTCTGCACACCCTTTCTGGAAAATCACTGTGACTGAGTACCTCTACATGCATGTAGTGTGTAGTCACTAGGAGCTTCACCTGACTGTCACGGTTTTTCAAGTACAAGAGAGAGCAACTTAGTCGCTACATTTGCCAGACCCCTCAGAATCCTGGCATGCATATTGTCAGGTCTGATGGATTTGTGGCTGTTCAAAATCTAGCTCATCTGCAAAAATGGTGTTTGTTAATTTAAAGGGATTATAGCCTTTAACCACTAAAAAATTTAGACACCTAGATTCAATACTCAGAGCCTGCGCACAGCTGTTGCCTAATCTGGTAGTACCTGAAGGGCCTCAATTTTCTACATTAAAATTTACTGCTTTTCTAAATATTTGCTTTTGATCATATGCCCACCATATCCCCTGGCTTCAAAGGTCTGAGCAGCTCAGTGGTATCTCCTCCCTACATCCAAGAGAATACATTTCTGTATTTGTCTTCCTTCACGATTCAATCTTATGGGCATTTTCATTGCCTCTAGATTGCCACATCTCAAGGTTGTTGCTTTTATTTTCCTATGTGGCTTTGGCAAGGGTTTTCTTGACATAACCTCAGAAACAGAATAGGTATTATCCATGTGTAGAAGGCCAAGCTGTGAATATCTTCGATTTAGGTAGAAAATCTCGAAGTGTAGGAAAGTGAGAACATGAAGCACTGTTAACTTCACAACAAAATACAGGTTTTTTCTTAATGGCAGCAAAGGACACACCTAAGGACAGCCTAAAAAATAAACCACACTAATTAGAAAACACAGCACCTGCTCCTATGCAGATTTATGTTATATATTTTATGTCATTCATTGGAAAATGTAAACAGTCTGAGAATTAAAGACCAAAATTAAGATTAGAAGCCTTACCCACTATGATTCCACTCCATCTCTTGTTTCCTCTTTGTTTCTGACTCCTGCTTCTTCTTTGTGTCATTCCCCTGCTGATTCCCAGATGCTCTGGGAGGGAGGAAACCAATACAGAAAGGATGGGGTGGTCTTGTTGCCTTCTTTATGTATGATTTCAGAAAAATCAAATGTTGAGAGTTTCAGTATACAGACAAGGGCAAGACGGTCAGGTTTGAGCTTTCAGAGGCCTAAATGTATCTATCAGTAAGGACTGGGAGATAGATGTGATTCTGTGCACAAAATGTTGGGTCAGCTGTCTTGCATCTAGCAAATACAGGTAGTCCCTGAATAGGAACCTAGGCTGGAATTTAGAATGTACCCATCAGGGTTGGAATAACTTCATCTGACTTTAGCTATTTAAAAATTAGCTGCCTGGGTCCCCTCTGTATTGAAGCATATCAGTAGGCACCTCCAGAAGACAATTCAACCCAACCTACAATCCTGCCATTTACTCCACTAACTAGAAAGAAGACCTACGAACTTAGTTTACAGAATTCAGGCAAAATAATTCTCAAGCATAAAGTATGCCTCCAATCTCTTTCAAGGCACCTAAGACTTTGTTTGTATAAAGTTATCACTTTATAGCAATACAGAGTTGTATATATTTGACTATAGCTCCCAGCTGTTAAGGCACTGGCATTCTCGCAAGATGTGAAAAATTGAAGCAGAGGAGGAATTTTAACTTTGCCTCTCCCATACTCCAGCAGGACGCTTACCACCACTACACTAGAAGCAACTCACCATCATCTGCAAAACATGAGTGAGCAGGACAAGTGTCTGCCAAAAAAGGCCTGCAAGTAAACCAGGAAGATGAACATATGAATCTGGCTAGGGAGCATATAGAATCTTCAAGACTGCACTCATTTTCTCTGCCTAGTAGCAAAACTGCAGGTTTCTTCAGGGACTTTACTGGACTAAGAAGAAAGAAGTAGAGATCCTAAAGATACATCTTGGTTCAAACTGAGAAGGCTTTAATGTGTAAGTCAATTTAAGATTGAAACACTTCAAACACCAACTAGACATACAAAATCTGTTGCAGACCCAGCCTTCAGCACATTCTAGAATCAATGACATGTTCTGTCATTGATTGTGTATGTAATGGGTTATTCTTCTACTGTTATGGTATAGAATAGAAGTGGAAATTAAGCTTCAAAACTGTAGTAGTTATTAAAATAATTCCCATAAAAGTTACTGGACTCCACATACATTAAGTCCTTTTTATATCTAGTTATCAGTTCTGATACATACCCCTGCATGCATTTGAAGTCTGTAATAAATCTTTTTATTTATTTAAATATACCGTTCACAGTTGAATTATGATCAGCAGCTTTTCATTTCAGTGAAGTGAAATTTACAAACACAGATTAAAAGAATTGTGGATCAGATAAGATGGAATTGTTCTACATCAACATCACAATAAACTTTACCTGCATACTTGATCTGTGGCTATGTTGCTCTTCAAAACAAGCAAATTAATAAGAATGATAAAATCTAAAAATCTAAATCTAAGAATGATAAAATCTAATGATGATAAAATCTAATGAACAACACTGACCCACACAATCTTTGTTTTTAATATAGAGAGAACTAGCAGCACAACACAGAATGCTTATGTTGAAAACAACAAATAATACCTTCAAAAAAAGGGAGTCATTACTAGCAGTGTCTAGGCATTGTGTAGACAGCACTCTTTACTAGCTGGAATAGCTAAAAAGACAGAAAGGAAAACAGTTTATATCAGTCAAGACACAGGCAGGAATTAAAATAACCCCAAACATGAAGCAGGTAAATTTCAATGTAGAGTACTGTAGCTGTACTCATGTGAAAAAAAAAAAAAAAAAAAGCAAAGAAAAAAAAATCAAGATTTGAAACTGTGCTATAACTGTCAAAATAGAAGAAAGCCAAAAGCAAACTGTTTTTTTTCAGAACATGTCCACTAACAAAACCCTCATTAGGCAGTGCAAAGCTTGCAACACTGCTTGCTGCACTTCAGGGTGCATGTAAACAAAGAGCCACTAAAACATCTTCAAAACCATAAAACAAATGCACAGTATCCATACTGCTAAAGTAAGAGAATGTAAACAGTGGGTGATCTATTTTCTGGCAGTACGGCAGCAATTTGAGAGGAAATGAACTACTGAAAGGTCCTAACTCAACCTCTAGAACAAAAGCCAGGTTGATCTCCTGCGCTCTCTCAGGTTGTGTTCCGTTTAATAGGTCCTCTATGCAGATTATTCTTCCAGCCAGGTTTTCCAGGAAGAGAGAAAAAATTATTTTTGGTTTGATATGAACATGCTATTTCCTTTTATAATACCCTTATTTAGGAGTGTATGTACATGCAAAAATGAACAATTAAGCACCTGATACTCTGCTCAGTTTTCTGACATGCTTCCTAGGGAAGCTGTCAGATTACACAACTACAGCTACTGTTAAGAACGCAACAGTATTAGGAAATAACCTAGTTCAAAGTGCTTAATAATACTTAAAATCACCTTTTAAATAAGCCACTAATATCCACCGCAACAGCAAACCACAGACAGTATAGAATCATAGCATCATAGAATAGTCAGGGTTGGAAAGAACTTTAAGGTCATTTAGTTCCAACCCCCCTGACATGGGCAGGAACGCCTCACATTTGACCATGTCACCTGAGACTCTGTCCAGCCTGTCCTTGAACACTGCCAGGGATGGGGCATTTACCACTTCTTTGGGCAGCCTGTTCCAGTGCCTCACCACCCTAACAGGAAAGAATTTCTTCCTTATATCCAATCTAAACTTCCCCTGTTCAAGTTTTAACCCGTTACCCCTTTTCCTGTCACTACAGTCCTTAATGAATAGTCCATCCTCAGCAACCCTACAGCCCACCTTCAGATACTGGAAGGCTGCTATGAGGTCTCCACGCAGCCTTCTCTTCTGAGGCTGAACAGCCCCAACTTTCTCAGCCTACCTTCATACAGGACGTGCTCCAGTCCCCTGATCATCCTCATGGCCCTCCTCTGAACTTGCTCCAACAGTTCCATGTCCTTTTTATGTTGAGGACACCAGAACTGTACACAATACTCCAAGTGAGGTCTCAGGAGAGCAGAGGGGCAGGACCACCTCCTTTGACCTGCTGGTCATGCTCCTTTCTATGCAGGCCAGGGTATGGTTGGTTTTCTGGGCTGTGAGCGCACACTGAAGCCGGCTCATGTTCAGTTTCTCCTCAACCAGCACTCACAAGTCCTTCTCTGCAGGACTGCTCTGAATCTCTTCTCTGCCCAACCTGTACCTGTCCCTGGGATTGCTCCAACCCAGGTGTAGGACCTTGCACTTGGCTTGGGTGAACTTCATGAGGTTGGAATTGCCCACCTCTCAAGTGTGTCAAGGTCCCTCTGGATGCCATCCCTTCCCTCCAGTGTTATCAACCAAACCACCTAGATTAGTGAGATCAGCAAAATTGCTGAGGGCACACTCAATCCCACCGTCTGTATCACCAACAAAGATGTTGAACAGGATTGGTCCCAATACTGACCCCTGAGGGACACCTCTCATCACCATTCTCTGTGTAAACACTTGAGCCATTGACTACAACTTTCTGTGTGCAGCCATCCAGCCAATTCTTTATCCACAAGGTGGTCCATTTTCAAATTTATGTCTCTCCAATTTAAAGACAAGTAATAGTATCAGTAATAGCTTACTATTTGTTGCATTAAAATACTGATGGATCATGCTGTATTTCCTTCTGCAGAGCTTGTGGTAGTAGATTACCACCTTTGAAAGTAAGCTCTTACAGATATGAAGGGATCCTCCTGCATATACTAAACGTGTATTTAAAGCTCTTTTTGCTTCCTATAGTTATTTCCACAAAGCATTTAGTGATGCATCTACCACATAAGATTGTTCTATATATATACCTCAAATTCTAGCTACAACGCAAGCTTAGAAAAACAACATTCAAAATTGTATTTATTAGGTCTAGTTTTCTGGGTATGTACCTGACAGGACTGGTTTTAAGTCAGGGCACTTTTAATTCATACTGCTTGATCAGCCCTGCAGCTAAAATACTACAACTCCCATATATACATAGGAGACCATCTTGTTATACAGAGTTCTGTAATCTTTTGGACTCTTCAATGTAATTTATTCTTTTAACACACCAGCTCTTCTTCAGTTGTTCTAATTAAAATCACAGCAAGTAATTTTCTCTTCCTGGGTTCTTCTGGTCTGAGAGTTCTTCAGTAACTTTAAAAGAGGATTTTCATAACACCTCTCAAGATGGATGCAGCAATATCAGATCACTGTGTTAAAGCTCTTTCAAGTATCTCTGCAAACACTGTGAAGGAACTGTGCAAGTGGGATCGTGAGGGGATGGTTCCTGCTGTTTTTTTTCCCAGACACTATCTCCAGTGTACCAGCCTGGTTTGCAGCTGCTGCTCATGAATTTCACTACACAGCTTATATAGCAGAGGGGAACAAGCATCTGCAAGGAAGTGTAATGACTATGCTCAGCACATTCCTACCCAATAAGTGATAGTTAATGAGACAAACTAGGGCTTTATTCATAGATTCCCTGTCCAGTATGTAGATCACATTCCAAATTTCTCTGTACCCTACCAGGGGTCACTAAGACCACATTATAGATGTTCCTCAACAAAGAAGGCAACTTTATTCTTCTTTCATAATAATTTAAAGTATTTATAAGCTGCTCAGCCACTCTTTTACACAAGCATATACTTACTGGTATATTCATGAACCACATCTAAAAGGTTTGGCAAAGACTGATACATTGTGGGGTTTCCAAGCATGAAAACCATGTGTAGCCTTCTACAACACAGACACTTGGAGGACCTGTGGAAGCTTAAGCTATCTCCAGAGACCATTCACTAGCTTCAAAATGACCACATGTTTGGCATTAACTAAAGCTCTCTTAAAGACTTCAAGAATGAACATGTGCAAATAACATTTTCTCAAGAAATCCCACAGAAGGAACAAGAAAATTGAAAACTCTTTCTGGGAATTACCACAGTTCCAAAATATTATTCATCTGAGAAGCTAACAACTCAATACTAGTATAAACATATACATATATATATATATAGCATACACACTTATATGCATACAGGATCCAGGAAAAGAGGAAGTTAACTACTATATGGTGCCTGCCCAGTAAGTATATGCACCACTGCAAGCAACACTAGGTTCATCCACTAGTTTTCAGCCATGAGAACTCTAAATTCAGAGCACTGAAGAGGAAGTTCATCCAATCCACACAGAAGAAGGAGAAGCCTGCCAGCATTATGTGAAGGTGCAGGGGCCACATTATCCACAAGTCTGACTCATGTGAAACAGTGTCATCAGACATAACAAGCTGCAAATAAAATAAAAGTCTAAAATAAAGTTTTACTTTCAGCCTCCACTCAGTTCTGACTACTTTCATCCCAGGTATTCCCAGAGTAACACCTGTATGCAGTTACCCACCCAGACAGGGAATTAATTAGTTTCTTTGAGAAGACTGCTGCTGGCCTTAACAGTCAACAGTCCCTAACCCATCAAGGCTTCATAAAAACTAGGAGCTTTAATTCTGTAAATAAACTCCATCTCCCTCCAACCAAGGCAAACACTAGACAAAGTTTACCATATAAAGGCAAGTGCTATCTGAGTCTTATTCAGATAACACTTCTAATGTATCTGTCCAGTCTCTGATGAACAGTTTCTAAAGAGTGAAATAAACATGACTTGGAGCTGGGTTTGTTGTAGAATGAATTAAAACTTCCACTCCTTGCAGCAGATTAAGGCATTCAGGTCACCAAATCTCATTCTCCTCCTAGCTCTTCAGTGAAATTAGTCAGAGCCTGCATTCTCACTGCCCTTCTCCTTCTGAATGTATAGATAAGATTAGCACCCAAGCAAGGGGCAGATTTCAGGCTTGTGATTTTTCTAGTCCATCTTGGAGAATGACAACCCTTGAGGTTAGGGACAGCTGCAACAGTTTCATTACAAGTCTCACTTCCTTTTCTTCTTTTGAAACTCATGCCATGAAACTAAGAAATGTCAGAATTACAGTTCTGTAATTCAGGTTATCCAAGATTGTCATTTGAGCTAATGGGAAACATTTTACTCTCTCCTTCCAAAGACAGGATAGCCATTTGGTTGAGGGACAGAATATAGTTCCATTCTTATTGATTTTAACTAGCAAGCCCAGCAAATCACCAATGCCATTACAGAACAAGAGACATACTGTCTCTGGAGTAAGAGAAATGATAGAAAAACCCCATGAACTAATCCCATTAAAAAATTGTGTTAAACTAAGTAGTACTTAGAGGTAGCACTGAGTGTTGTATGAACATGTTTATATGTATAATACATACTCAGACACACAAATATTTAACATATATAAAAATAAAGTGCTTTCTATCGGGACCCAATGCAGGGACATTATAAAATATTTCATCAATTGCAAAACAGATACAAAGAATACTACAGCAATCACACATGAAAATATTTAACATAGTATGTACAATCTGGTGGGTGTCTCAAGACAAAACATCCCTTCATATACACGGTATATACATATATACTTATATTTAGTCAATATATTATGACAATATATATATTTCAAAACTTTGTTATAGACAAAAAAGCCCTACAAAAACACAAGGATCAAGAACACAAGTCCAAGACCAACAAAGAATTTGTTACCCTTGTCCACACCCCCACCTTCACTGTTGGGAAAGATATGCCAGTGCTCTTTTCTAGGGTGCAGTGACTCCACATCCTGCAAAGCGCTGTGAGCAGCAGCTGTGAAGTTACCATCACCAGTGGTGAGCAGATCAAATACACATGAGTAAAAATATACGTCCTTCAGCAGCATCTTCTCATGGCACTTAGTGGTGGCAGTTTCCAGTGTGTACACTGACTGGGGATGAGCAGAACCATGCTGAGGGACCAAGTGACCCATCACAGGCAATGGTAAGTGGCCATTATCATCGATACGTTCACTTGAAGGGCAACCATTCACACACAGCTGCAGATCCTGGCTCTCCTCATGGGCCATAACCACCTCTTGAGGCATGCGAATGGCCAGTGTTAGGTAGTGCCCAAGCTGGCGTATATACACTGTGGTTCCAATGTACCTGGCATGCATTTCGATGTATTTGCCACTGACTTTCTCCACAATTCGCAAGCTCTTGGTGTTCCCATCACCTCCACTTGTTGTACCATCAACAAAAGCTGCAGGCAAGTCATCAGTCACTGCTTGATATACTTTCTGATCTGTACAGTCTTCATACGATTTAAAGATAATAGTTATCTGGGGGGTGAGGGTGGGAGGGGAAGTAGAAAAAAAAAAAAAGGCGAAGTTAGTAGAAAAAAAAACGTATTTCAATCCCTTTTCCATTTTGCAACCAAACATATCTAGGACCACCCACTGCCTCAGAGCTTGATAGCTGTTCCCAACTCATATCTACAGGAAAATAGTCAGTATATATGCTTGAAACAATGTTTTACAGGATAGCAGTTGTTAAATCATAGAATCACAGAACAGTTTGGGCTGGAAGCTACCTTAAAGATCAGCTAGTTCCACTGCCACAGGCAGGGACACCTTCCACTAGATCAGGTAGCTCCAGGCACCGTCCAATGTGGCCTTGAACACTGCCAGGGATGGGGCAGCCACAGCTTCTCTGGGCAACCTGTGCCAGGCCCTCATCACCCTCACCGGGAAGAACTTCTTCCTAAGATCTCATCTCAGTCTCCCCTCTGTCAGGTTAAAGCTATTCCCCTTTGTCCTGTCACTACAGGCCCTTGTAAAAAGTCCGTCTCCAGGTTTCTTGTAGGCCCTGTTTAGGTATTGGATGGCTACTATAAGGTGTCTCCTTGAGCATTCTCTCCTACAGCCTGAACCTGTTGGTCTTAGGCTGGCATGGAAGTAAGACTATTAGCATATGGCAAGGAAAGGAAAGGAAAAGGCTTTCTATTTAATTAAGCATCACAATTCCCTCCTGCCTGATGGTTTCTTAATGCTTTGGAATGCATCCTGCAGTCACAGAGAAGCTAACTGCTAAGTAATTCCGACAATGCGAGGTAGCCACTATGGCAAAATCAGAATGAGACTCTGCAAAATCACACAAAGGTACAAGAGAACTCAGCTTCCCCCACTCACAATATTCTCATCACTCCATTTGCAGTGACTGTATCACCTTTGCTGGGTACACATGTTGTGGTACACTTGTTGCATGCATTGCAGGATTAGTTGTGCGAGACTACTTGAAAGGCACTGATGTATTTAGTGCTTTATCAGCCGTGAACACAGCAGGCAGTGAGACTTCAGATACATGACCAAGCAGAATAACTAGTCAAATAATTGTTTAAGGCTCCTGAATCCATCTGTCCCAGGAACTGGTAGATTTGACACTTCCAGCCCACTCTTGCTAGAAAATATGCCCACGGAGAGACAAGACTGAAAAACACACCTCTGAAGACTGACTTCCAATACAGAAAATCAGGAGCATAAAACAGTTACTCATTCTTTTAAGATTATGACTGGCCTTTTCAACCTTTACATTTCTTTGAATAAGCCACAACAGAAAGAGTAGGTCCTCCAGTCTTACTTGAAGGGAATCATTAAGCTGCCTTGCAGACAAATTTTGTAGTGTCTAATGGCTTTTTCTAAAATAAAAAGTATAATGAGGAATCACATAGAATCATACAATTATAGAATAGTTAGGGTTGGAAAGGACATTAAGATCATCTAGTTCCAACCCCCCTGACATGGGCAGGGACATCTCATACTAAAGCATGCCACCCAAGGCTCTGTCCAACCTGGCCTTGAACACCACCAGGGATGGAGCATTCACAACCTCCCTGGGCAACCCATTCCAGTGCCTCACCACCTTATATCCAATCTAAGCTTCCCCTGTTTAAGTTTTAACCCATTACCCCTTGTCCTGTCACTACAGTCCTTAATGAATAGTCCATCCCCAGCATCCCTACAGCCCTCTTCAGATACTGGAAATCTGCTATGAGGTCTCCACGCAACCTTCTCTCCTCCAGGCTGAAGAGTCCCAAGTTTCTCAGCCTATCTTCATACGGGACGTGCTCCAGTCCCCTGATCATCCTCATGGCCCTCCTCTGGACTTGCTCCAACAGTTCCATGTCCTTTTTATGTTGAGGACACCAGAACTGTACACAATACTCTAAATGAGGTCTCACGAGAGCAGAGTAGAGGGGCAGGATCACCTCCTTCGACCTGCTGGTCATGCTCCTTTTGATGCAGCCCAGGATATGGTTGGCTTTCTGGGCTGTGAGCGCACACTGCAGCTGGCTCGTGTTCATTCTCTCATGGACCAACACCTCCAAGTCCTTCTCTGCAGGGCTGTTCTGAATCTCTTCTCTGCCCAACCTGTAGCTGTCCGTGGGATTGCTTCAACCCAGGTGTAGGACCTTGCACTTGGCACAGTTAAACTTCATAAGGTTGGCATCAGCCCACCTTACAAGCATGTCAAGTTCCCTCTGAATGCCATCCCTTCCCACCAGTGTCTCAATTGAACCACACAGCTTGGTGTCATCAGCAAACTTGCTGAGGGCACACTCAATCCCACTGCCCATGTCACCGACAAAGATAAATAAATACTGGAAACAGGTATGCTACTTCCTTTACAGTTTCAGAGGGGAGCGACTCCTTGAAATGGTCAAAGGGGATTTTGCGCCAGAAATAGGTGTTTTAGTCATTATTTTCATCCCTGACTGATCAAAATTACTTGCAGTATATGATTTAATCAATCTGCTAAAAGATTTAGACTACTCCAAAATACATTAGAAGGCATTTTCAATTTAATATTAAACTTTTGCCTTG